CTTGATTTGACAGTGTTTATGTTCCTTTCTATTTATCTCACTAGGATTGGACTTCCACTTCTTGAAAGATGCCTTTTTGTCCCTCACTGCTTCTTTTACATTGTGGTTAAGCCTCAATGACTCTTTTTTTAGGTCTCTTACTATGTCTTTTAATTTGGGTATTTTTAAATTTAATTCTCTTCATCTTTGCTCCCACTAGGATCAAGAAAGTGCCTTCACAATGTGGGAAGATAATTCAGGTTAAGATTTTGCCACCGATATTTTTTGTAAAAGTCATGTACAGGTCACAGGCAATCAATTAAAACTCACGGATCTGTCTCTGACTTACTAAAAATAGCCATGATAAAATAAGAAGTTCAGTTTCAGGGTCCCCATATTGCTTGTGGGGCCTCGGAGCTCCAGGTTCTCCAGCACCCACTGCAGAGCTTGGAGGCTTCTCTGTTGTCTGTGGGGACTGAGAGCTTTGGGATACTCTTGCCACCTATGGTGGCCACAAACTCCAGGAAGCCCACTGTGAGTTGAGGGGGGGGGGTTCGATCACCCCGTACCGGCCGGTGGGGGGGTGTCAGCGAACCCCTCCACCTCGCACCTGGGTCTGCAGTTCAGGCCCTTAGTCTAGTTTTCTAGTCTTTGGGTGTGATCGCCCTCTTCGTGCCTGGCAGGCCAAGAAGGGATCAGCGAATCCTGGTCCATGTCCGTCTTTAGCGAATGGGTTAAGGGCGGTTGGAGTTTCGCTGGGGGGGGGTTAGCCCCTGCACGGCAGATGGGGGACGTGTTTCCTCCCGCAACTCGTCTGCCCATGGGCACCAGAAGGCTTCCGCCCTGGGCTGCTTCCTCCTTTCCCTCAACCCCTTAAGATGTCCAGTTGTCTCCCCTGGCTTACTGTGGTCTGGAGGTCTGGTCCGGGGTTGATCTGAGGGGAACCCAGGGGCCAGCTGGCTCCTGAGCTCTTTGTCCCGGCCGGGCCGCCCTCTTCGTGGCCACCGGGGTTCGTCCTGGTCATCTCCTGATCCGGGGCTGTCCGACCTGGGAACCGAGCTGCCTTCTCCTCCCCAGTGGAAGGCTTCCTCTCCCCTCCAAGCCTGTCGGCCGTTTAAAAATGGCCTGCTGGACCTGACGTGGGCTGGAGGCCCCACCCTCCTAGTGACGTGGCTGTTGTGCCGGCCGCATCTCTTCGTGGCCACCGGGGTTCGTCCTGGTCATCTCCTGATCCGGGGCTGTCCGACCTGGGAACCGAGCTGCCTTCTCCTCCCCAGTGGAAGGCTTCCTCTCCCCTCCAAGCCTGTCGGCCGTTTAAAAATGGCCTGCTGGACCTGACGTGGGCTGGAGGCCCCACCCTCCTAGTGACGTGGCTGTTGTGCCGGCCGCATCCCGGCCGACGCTTGCTGCCGTGGCCCCTACCCTCGCTCCCTCAGGGAGGTGGCAGGCTCCAGCTGCCCCGCCTGCCGCAGCTGCGCCTGCAGCGCTGGGGCATCCTGCCCGCAACCCCGCTTGTATCCTGGCCGGCTCGGCCCTTCGGAGTGCGGGCTGTAGGCGGCCCGTCTCACCGAGCCCTGGGAGCCACCACTGCCCAAGCAGCCAGAAGCTGTGGAGTAGCTTGCAGTTCCATGACCAGAATGATGATAGTAACTTTGAAATGCTAAGGGAGATTAGAAAGACTATAAAAATAAAAAAAGTTCATTAATAATAGGTGATATCAGTGATCCCAATATTGACCGGATACGTGTCCCCTCAGGACAGTATGCAGATATAAAGTTTCTTGACACTTTAAATGACTGCTTCCTGGAGCAGCTGGTTCTGGAACCCACAAGAGGAGAGGCAAATTTTGCTTTAGTCCTAAGTGGAGTGCAGAATGTGGTCCAAGAGGTGAATATAACTGGAACACTTGGAAATAGTGACCGTAATATAATTAAATTTAACATCCCTGTAGTGGGAAAAACACCACAACAGCCCAACACTGTGGCATTTAATTTCAGAAGAGTGAACTACACAAGAATCAGGTTAAACAGAATTTAAAAGGTATAGTGCCAAAAGAGAAATTCCTGTAAGCTGTATGGAAACTTTCTAAAGATGTCATATAGAGGCTCAACTTAAATGTACACTCCCAAATAAAAAAACAAAGAAAACCAAGAAAGTGCCACCATGGCTTAACAACCAAATAAAAGAAGCAGTGAAGGCTAAAAAGTCATTGTTTTAAAAAGTAAAAGTTAAATCCTAGTGAGGAAAATAGAAAAGAACATAAACTTTGTCAAATGAACTGTAAAAATATAATTAGGAATGTCAAAAACTAATTTGAAAAACAGCTAGCCAAAGACACACTAAATAATTTTTTTTTTTGTTTTACATACGTCAGAAGCAGGAAGCCTGCTACACAACCAGCAAGGCCACTGGAGAAGTGAGATGGCTGCTGGATGACTGATTTGCTAAAGGAGCGCTCAAGGATGACAAGGCCATTGTTGAGAAAATAAATGAATTCTTTGCATTGGTCTTCATTGCTGAGGATGCGAGAGAGATTCCCAAACTTGAGCTAGTCTTTTTAGGTGACAAATCTGAGGAACTCTCCCAGATTGAGGTGCCATTAGTTTATCTATTTGTTCCAAAACTTTCTCTAAAGAGTAATAAGTCACCAGGACCAGATGGCATTCACTCAAGAGTTTTAAAAGATCTCAGATGGGAAATTGCTGAACTACTAACTATGGTTTGTAACATATCCTTCAAGTCATCATCTTTACCAAATGGCTGGAGGATAGATAATGTGATGCCAATTTTTAAAAAGTTCTATAGAGGTGATACTTGTAATTCCAGGCTTGTAAGTTATAGACAAACAGATTTATTGGAGCATAATTACAGGCTGGTACATTTAACTATAGTACTGGGCAAATTGGTTGAAACAATGGTAAAGAATAGAATTGTCAGACACAATGTGGTTTCTGTAAAGGGAAATCATGACTCACTAATCTATTAGAATTCTTTGAGGGAATTAACGAGCATGTGGACCACAGGGATCCAGTGGATAGAGTATACTTAGATTTCCAAAAAGCCTTTTGCATGGTCCCTCACCAAAGGTTCTTAACAAATTAAGCTGTCATGGGATAAGAGGAAAGTTACTCCCATGGATTGGTAACTGGCTAGAAGAAAGAAACAAAGGATAGGAATAAATGGTCAGTTTTCAGAATGAAGAGAGGTAATCAGTGGTGTCCCTCAGGGGTCTGTACTGGGACCAATTCTATTCAACATATTTATAAATGATCTGGAGCAAGGGATAAACAGTGAGGTGGCAACATTTGCAGATGATATACAATTGCTCAAGATAGTTAAGCCCAAAACAAATTGTGAAGAACTTCAAAAGGGTCTCACAAAACGAGGTGACTGGGCAACAGAACGGCAAATGAAAGTTAATGTTGATAAATTCAAAGTAAGGTATATTGGAAAACATGATCCCAACTATACATATAAAATGATGGGGACTAAATTAGCTGTTACCACTTGAGAGGGAGATCTTGGAATAATTGTGGATATTTCTCTGAAAACATCCACTCAATGTGAAGCAGCAGTCAAAAAAACCCAAACAATGTTAGGAATCGTTAAGAAAGGGCTAGAGAATAAGACTGAACATGCAGATGTGGTTGCCTTATCTCAAAAAATATATATATCTTAGCATTGGAAAATTCAGAAAAGAGCAAACCTTATGCCAATAGTAACCTTGAATGGCTTAGTCAGGTCACTATTAGGTGTAATGTGGCATATCATTTTCATACAAGTTGTTAGTGATGGTCACAAATTTCTGAAGTACTCTATAGTAGGAAAACAACTTCCATAAAACTGTTCTGTCCACTGTCAAGCAATGTGGAAACCTATAAAATTCAAATTAAGTGGTAACTACAATTCAATCAACAGTTTTATGATTATATGTAGGATTATACTTTGATCTATATGTGATTTCTTCTTTTGACCCTTTCCTGTTGTTATAACCTTAAATCTGCACTGTCTTTATTTTTCATAGCATGATACACGTAAATACCTTACTTAGAATCAATAGCAGATGAATGCTCCCCCTGCTTTTTATAATGACCGAGTTCTCCTTTCTTTGGTAGTTTCACTATACGACCCTTTCCTCTCATGTGATATTTTTATTTCTTCCCATATCTTTTGTAAAAGGACTAGAAAAGTGACTAGAAAAACACAAATTACCTTAAGAACTGCTGTCAGTGTTGTCTCGACCTGATGCCTTTCTATGTCTATTCTTGTGATTGGTCCTCATTCCGCATTCAGATTTTTTGTCTTTTTTGTCTTATCTGTGGCATTGGCCACTATCTCATTATTTAGTAGTTGTCTAAAACACTGCCTCCGTATATTTAATGGTATTGATGTCCTTATTGTAACCTATTGTTACCTGGGGAACTGAGGTAAGCAGTTGTTGTGGGAGTTAAGGCTAGTGGCAATGACTGAGCCCAAGGCCTAAATCAAGGTGTCCCCCTCCCAGAAGCCAGATTCGGCCTGGTGTTATGTATCTAGTCACCGTTGGATTGGGTAACCACAAATCAGGCTAGACTAATGTTTAGGGCCAAATCATATATTTTTGAACAGTGGAACATACATCAACAACAACAGCATGAACTCACTCTATCCCAGGAGAAAAGAAGATAGATAAGCCCCAGATACAACAAGGGGAGTATACTTTACAGTGTCAGAGGCGGGCGGCGATTGAGGCCTGCGACCTTCTATCCTGCAGCTAATGTAAAGCCTTAGGGGAGGACGGCAGGGAGTCCCTCGCTGACAAGGAAAGGTAGTCCAGTTGAACGGCCCTCCTGCTGGTGGATCTTGCCTCTAATGGGTTGGGTAGATTCCCTCTGGGGTTGGTACTTGGTAGCCCTTCGACTTCCATTCCAATCCAGCAGGTAAGGATAGCAGTAAATGAGTTCAAGTCCATGTGGCAGAAGGCAATAATCCTTAAGTGGGGCGTTCCCACACTCGCAAGGCTCTCTCTCTCTCTTCCACAGCTCAAACAAAATCCTTATACCCGAACCCACGAACTAAAATGGAGCACCACGGGAGACGAACAAACACTGACAGGACTTGGGACGGCAGACAGTGACTGACAGGCTACAATACGGACGGACAGTGGCGAACCCGAACCTTTCCTTGGTCAGGGCTTATAAGCCCTTCAAGGCGGGAAAAGGGTGGTAAGGGTTGTGTGCAGCAAACGGTGCCATGTGCAACTCTCCAGTAGGGAGGGATGCACAGTTTCTGAGCGGTGTGCAGCTCATTTGAGTGCCCAGTGCACAGTTTTGGACTGAGTGCAAACTATAGTGCGGGGTGCACTGAGCAGAGAACCGTATGCACCTAGGTTTTGGCGGGAGAAGGGTAACAAAGGGAGAAGAAGGAAAACAAGATGGAATCTAGAGAGACTCGATTTTGAACATAATAGCTCTAAATGTCTTTTCTCTGGCAACATCAGAAATCTAGAATCATCTTGCCTCTGGATGATGCTATCATGGAAATAGCCGATGAGGTCTGGCAGACACCGGCCTCAGTCCCCCCAACGAGTAAAAAGGCAGATAAAAGATACTTCATCCCTGCCAAGGGTAGCGAATTTTTGTTCCCATACGCTAACCTAATTCTCTGGTAATGGACGCAGCACAACAGAGATCCAAAGTCCCCCAACACAAAGCCACCCCAGGGGATAAGGAGGGCAAACGCCTAGACCTATTCGGCAGAAAGGTCTACTCATCGGCCACTCTAATGCTGAGAATGGCAAATTATTCAGCTCACCTCTCAAATCACAGTTTTGATAACTATACCAAGCTTATCCGTCTCCTCAATGAACTCTCTGATGCCAAACGCCAGATTTTGAAGTCAGTCATACAAGAGGGATACACCCCCTCTAGAACAGCATTACAAATAGCCTACAACTGCCACTTCGGTTACACCTGGGCATCTTGGTTACACCTGGCAGCTATACCAAAAGACCTACAGTCTAAACTTGAAGACCTGCCCTTTGATAAACAAGCCCTATTCGCTGAGAAAACAGACCAACTGCTTCATTCTGGAAAGGACTCGAGAACCACTCTCAGGACGTTTGGCATGTACACTCCGCCGTATCGTCGGCAACACTATATTCCTTACCAACGACAACGACCATTCTCATACGCCCCAAACCGATTCAGACAATACGACCAACAACATCCTAGACAACGCCTGCAGAAGCGACGTCCTCAAAACAAGGCATCTAAACAAAACAACCGACAGCAGGTTTGATGCGCTTGTCGAGGGCCTGCGACACCTACCCTTGGAAGACCATCTACAAGAACCAATCAGACTCTTCCACTACCGCTTGAGACCATACTGTCTTCGTTGGTTTGCCATCATCACTGACAGATGGGTGTCAGCCGACGGTCAGGGCAGTGAGTCCCTTATGACCGGCTGAAGTTCTTTTTAAATTGTGCTTGGTTCTGTTACAGCAACTGAAGGAGTCAGGTTAAAGCTTAAACAGTTACTATTTTATTGTTACAGGGTAAACTTAGTTGTTAAATGCTACTACTGTGTTACAGATAACACAGACACTACAAAGGACAGAACAGAAATTACACTAAGAAGTCACTTACAGGTACCATGAAACCCTTTGGTTCTCTGAGCTCTTATTAAATGCATGCAAAATAGACACATAGCAGGTATATATTCTCACCCCTGCGTTCCAGACTTGGCGTGGCCAGCGTCTTTCTCTCAATCCCTCGGGAAGAAGTAGGGCGAGGTTGGGCGTCCCACAGACCTCGGGAGACAATCAATACCTGCAGGTGTAGGTGTTTGGAGCTCAAAGGGGGTGGGCTACTAAACCCCTCTTTATACCCCTTGGGTCACGTAGGCTTCTTCCTGGTCTCAAGTGGCCAATTAGGAAAAATGGCTTTGAATGCCAAGTTTCCCACGAAGGGTGCAAAGCATAATTCACACCTGGGAAAATGCAGACAATGGGCACCTCTGGTATGTGATGGGCGAAGATTCCTCTCCTGGGACAGTGCAGGCATGTCAATTACTGGTACTAGCCATCAGGG